ATGACTGGCTGATTAGATAACTGCACGAATGTGGAAGTTCACAGGTGCTCCTAAAAAAGTGAAGAGTGAGTGTATATGAGAATCAACATATTAGAATCAACACAAAACCTCATTTATCAGATGTATACAATACTATATACAATCTGATTAACTCCCAAGTTTCATTTAACTTTCATCCCAATCCTAAAATGTTCAATACGACTATATCCAATATGACTATATCAATACGACTATATGACTCAAACTTCACTGTGCAGTGGTATCAAGAGAATGAAAAGCCGCTGTATCTAGCTGTCTGGCATAAAAGCATGACAGATAAAATAAATTCCTTGACTTTACCCAGAAACAATCACCAGTGGATTTCCAGACTCACCAGTAGGGGTGTGACAATATATGGGTTGAGAGCATTCCATGATAAGGAAATAGATATACTGTTCAAATCATGCAATAATTCTAATACCAATATACATTCAAATATGCTAGAAGCCTTAAATCATTTGGTAGTGTAAGCTTCGTAAGAGAATGCATACTAGTTGAAAATGAGAAACATTACAATTTCAGGCTAGGTGTAAGTATTGAATGTCAGTGACATGAAAGGAATGATAGTTCTTGATTTTTTATATGCCTGATATGTTTATTATTATTATTATTATTATTATTATTATTATTATTATTATTATTATATTATTATTATTATTATTATTATTATTATTTTTCATTTGGGGATTTTATTTTGCTAAACACTTCCCTGTATCCAGAACTGGACATACACGTACAGTGAACAGTGTACTGGGTCTAATTTGTCATTAAGATTACATCACTGCATAGAAATGCCACCTAGTTGTGGACAATTGATTTCCGTAAAGATTCAGAGTGAAGTCAGGTGTGAAGCAAATGATTAATAAATAAGTTTAGTCATACTTTCTGAAGTCAGACTGTTTGTGAGTCTAATCTAAGCTGCTTTGGCAAGTGTTACAGGAAACAAGATACCACACCCATGTCTAATACTCCTGAAGTTGCATACTATCATCCCATCATCCTCAGGCCATGACCTCATCACATGACCTCTATTCCAAAACCTTGTCCCCACTCACAGTCACCTGCTTACTAATGACACTTACTTGTTCGCAATCACACTATGCCTTTCAAATAACCTGGACTCTCTCGCTGCATCCCATTTTGTCTACTTATAGTATGCGTTAAAAGTACGTACTCATTTTGTGAATAAAAAGTACATAATTTTGAGTGCGTTGCAAAAAGTATGAAAGTACTAAGACATACTAGCACGTCATGTAACAGTAGAGAACGTTGTTCCCTAGTTACACACTGTGTTACTGTAAACAAACTCCTCGTTGCATTTCAGCTTTTCTTCTTCATTCATTAAACCCTATATATATATATATATATATATATATATATATATATATATATATATATATAGTATCTCACAAAGTGAGTACACCCCTGACGTTTTTTTAAATATATGATTATAACTTTTTATGTGACAACACCTGAAGAAATGACACTTTGTTACAATGTAACGTGGTGAGTGTACAGCTTGTATAACAGTGTAAAGTACAGTCTCCTCAAAAATAACACATAGCCATTAATGTCTAAACCGCTGGCAACATAAGTGAGTATTCCACTAAGTGAAAATGTTCAAATTGGGACCAATTAGACATCTTCCCTCCCGGTGTCATGTGACTTGTTAATGTTACAAGGTCTCGGTTGTGAATGGGGAGCAGATGTGTTAAATTTGGTGTCATCGCTCTCACACTCCCTCATACTGGTCACTGGAAGTTCAACATGGAACCTCATGGCAAAGAACTCTCTGACGATCTGAAAAAAAGAATTGTTGCTCTACATATGAGAAGATTGCCAAGACCCTGACACTGAGCTGCAGCATGGTGGCCAAGACCATACAGCGGTTTAACAGGACAGGTTCCACTCAGAACAGACCTCGCCATGGTCGACCAAGTCGACGAAGTTGAGTGCACGTGCTCAGCGTCATATCCAGAGGGTCAGCCTGTCAGTACTCAGACCATACACCGCACACTGCATCAAATTGGTCTGCATGGCTGTCGTCCCAGAAGGAAGCCTCTTCTAAAGATGATGCACAAGAAAGCCCACAAACAGATTGCTGAAGACAAGCAGACTAAGGACATGGATTACTGAAACCATGTCCTGTGGTCTGATGAGACCAAGATAAACTTGTTTGGTTCAGATGGTGTCAAGCTTGTGTGGCGGCAACAAGGTGAGGAGTACAAAGACAAGTGTGTCTTGCCTACAGTCAAGCATGGTGGTGGGAGTGTCTTGGTCTGGGGCTGCATGAGTGCTGTCGGCACTGGGGAGCTAGAGTTCACTGAGGGAACCCTGAATGCCAACATGTACTGTGACATACTGAAGCAGAGCATGATCTGTAAGCATTATTACAGCATGAAAACGACCAGAAACACACCTCCAAGATGACCACTTCCTTGCTAAAGAAGCGGAGGGTGAAGGTGATAGATTGGCCAAGCATGTCTCCAGATCTAAACCCTATTGTACATCTGCAGGTCATCCTCAAATGGAAGGTGGAGGAGCACAAGGTCTCTAACATCCACCAGCTCCGTGATGTCGTCATGGAGGAGTGGAAGAGAACTCCAATGGCATCCATGATCCAGGTATCCCAGCTGAACATTGCCCAGAGCATCACACTGTCTCCGCTATCACCGACGTCCATTACTGATATTACACTCGTCTGCCATGTTTGCAGGTTGAATTCGGTGAAGCAAATGGTCACAAAACTCCTCCCTTATTGTGCAAGGAGTTGTGGGAATATTAGCTGTAAAAGTGTCCATGGATCTACTCTTCGAAACTCTACCGGAAATAGTAGGCCATTTGGGTAACTTTGAGGTTACTCATTTCAACATACTATGATTTGGCACTTGCTAACTCTAATCTCATATTTAGAATGTATAGTAGGCAAATTGGTATGCAATTTGCGAAGTCTTGCTCCAGCTTTGGGACTGTTTTGATTCCAAGCTTTTGTATGAAACCATTCTCATTTTCTTATACTTGCAAAAAAATATATAAATGCTCCTAGACTAATATCTGATACCATGTGATGCTACTGCACGCCATTGAGCTAATGAACAGATATTTTTGATATTATTGAAATTATCACGAAATATCACCAATGTGTATGTGTTTCATGATTCATGATGGCAATACTGTAAACTGTGAAAATATTGAGATTATTAAGTATTTAATATTGAATAGCTTAGTAATTTACCAATACAGTACAGCTGAAGGAAATTGAGTTTCTATACCAGGGGTCTGCAAGTACAATTTTTGAATTTCCAGTTTCATAAAATTCCCTATAAAGCAGATGACATATATTTATAAACTTGAAACGGTCAGTTGCTTTGGTTGGGAACTTGAAATGGAGAATAAACTCAGTCATCTCTGTCCATTCGTCTTTTTCATTGTTGACATTTATTTCTTTTCAGTTCCTTTTTTTTTCTTTTTTACAAGCTATGTCATAACTTCACTAATCAGACCAGTCAGACCAGAGAGACCAGGGTATATGAAATTAAAATTCAATCAAAAACTAGTGTCTGGTCTGATGAGCTGTTTGAGGAAGTACTGTACATAAATACATGTGATTGGATAAGCTGGAGCTGGAGTCACTGTACCACAGCCAGCTTGTTTTTTTAATACACTGAATTGCTCTATTACAGTATTATTTCAGTTTTGGTCCCCTAGAACACTTTGCTAGGTCCCCATCAGGATCGGGGTCTGCCAGTTGATGACCCCTGTTCTGGACAGTTCAGTCTCATTTCCACTGTCATGAATAATCATGATGTGCTCTACACGTCCGCATACTATATAGGATCCAAGTGCAACATGCTTGTTAGCTTTCATATTTAGCGTTCATATTTCAGATATGTCATTGAGAGAAATGAGTTTTGGATTTTGTAAGAAATGAGTCTGGACCTGCTCACAATTCTTGAGAAGCGATTCAGAAACCATGACTCCTCATTTGATTACACCTTTAATATGGGCCTAAAATGACATATATTGAGATGCAACTATTTTTCTCAGTTTAAATGTTGAGAAATAGTTACAAGCAGCAAATGGATTGACAGATAAATGTATATAAACTTTAATAAAAGATCATTTTAGCTATAGCTAATTGTACTATCCCTGTGTTTACATTGTCTGAGAGCACGTAATCCATGTTGTGATCCTTCTCTGTGACACAATATTTACATACAGTCTCCTAACCTTCATGATGATCTGTCTTTTCTAGAACAATCAATTCTAAAAAGATCTTTCACACATTAAATAATGGATTAACCGAATTACATTGGGGTCCTAGTTTAGCTGAATTATTCACATTTAGCACATGGCACTTACACACACACACACACACACACACACACACACATATATATATATATATATATATATATATATATATATATATATATATATATATATATATATATATATATATATATATATATATATAAATGCTTATCTTTAAGTCTACTCAATGTGACAAAATCCATCAGTGTATCAGGTCCAGCAAAGAGAATGAATCATTGAATGATGCCTCATTAGAGGCATGCAGTGACCACTCTTTCTACGTTATACAGCAAGATGGGAAGCGAATTGGACGTTGGAGTTACTGTAAGGTTATATAAAAAAGAGGACCTGAAAACTATATGAGCACGTAACCGGAGCAACAGGTTAGTGCACATGCGGGACAATTTGAATGTATAATCAGGCAACTTTTACAGGCACACAAACCAATACAAAGATAGATACAACTTCAACGTCAACACAACTTCAAATTAAAGCTAAATAATATATTTTTTTTTATTATGAAAAAACTTGTACATTTACTATAATTTAAACCTTAAACAAAGGTTCACAAAAGACATAAATGTCTGCTTCAATTCACACATTGATTTCATTTAAAGTAAATTAGTTCCTCTTTGTGGAGGCAAAGTGGCTTAGTGGCTTAATGGTTAGCACGTTTGTCTTGCACCTCTGGGGTTGGGGGTTCAAATCCCACCCCCGCCTTCTGTGTGTGCAGAGCTTGCATGTTCTTACCCATGGTTTGGGGGTTTACTCTGGTACTCTGTTTTCCTTGCCCGGTCCAAAGAATCTGTAGTGTGTGCGATTGTGCAGTGTGATGGACCCCGTCTAGGGTGTCCCCTGCCCTGTGCTCAGAGTTCCCTGGGATAGGCTCCTGGCTCCCTGTGACCCTGTGTAGGATAACTAGTATGGGAAATGGACAGATGGATAAATAGTGCCTCTTTCACCAAGGAACATGTTGGGAAAGAATTACCTAAGGCTAACTAAGAATTGCTTTATACCTAATCTCTCAAATGTAGAGATTCGTTTATTTCGACATGTAGTAAATAAAAGTAAATGTAAACATCAGTAAAAGGATTTGGCGAAAGAAAATCCTCATTCATTTTAATTACATTAACAAATTAATAGTAGTCTAAATTTGTAACAATTTGTATGACGCAGGGTTTTTCTTTTAATGAATAGATATGAGTATAAAAAGTTGTGTTAATGGTGTGGCTACCTTTATGCCATTGCTTATGACTTTGTTTTGGTATAAAAGTGAACAAAGGCAACTGTGAATATATAAATGTTGGAGTTTGTTCAAAGGGCACAAACGCTAACCCTGTCCATTTGAACTTTTGTAACCATCCATCCATCCATTTTCTGTACCGTTTATCTTTCAAGGGGTCGAGAGGGAGCCTGGAGCCTATGCTAGGGCACAAAGCAGGGGTACACCTTGGATGAGGTGCCAACCCATCACAGGGCACAATCACACACCCATTCGCACACTACCGACAATATGGAAATGCCAGTCAGATTACGACGCATGTCTGTGGACTGGTAGAGGAAACCGAATAACCCGGAGGAAACCCCCGAAGCACGGGGAAAGGTACTCAACTCCGAAGGTGCGAGGCAAACATGCTAACCACTAAGCCTGGGAATTTATATTCAATTCATTAATCAATTAATGGATCTACTTTCAAATTAGCATGTTATAATCCGAGTAACCAGGACAAAGCTGCGACTCCAGCAGGACTGTGAAAAGAAAAGGCGCATTTATTTAGAATTGACATGCGGAGCATCCCCACACCAATCCGGCTGGGTGTCCCACCTGTGAGCAAACACCCACACACACACAAACAAGCACGCATACACACAGACACTCAGGTTCCCACAGCATTCACGTGTGCGGACACACCAGGCTTTCCTATCAGCTCCTGTGGCCTCGGCTCAGAACAAGGGCGCCTTTCAGTCCATCATACAGCTGCACATGGCCGAGACACACTGGCTCACTGTTAGAGCAGAACTGATAGATAAAGAGGCTAAAAAAGAGGTAAGGTGGCGTGAAAGGGAGCGAAGTGTAGCCTGTGAAATGTGAAATGCAGTAGACGGAGTGCTCCGGCTAAACAAGCAGAGGCAAGCCGTGGTTTCCTAACAAGTCAATTTTAGGCTGGTCTACCTGTACCCTCAGGGTTAGGAAAAAATACCTGTTTTCATAATATATGAGTCTCTCTATAGCAGATATGCCAACACTCATCAACACTTATCGAGTTTTGATTGCTTACTCTTTTTTTCCCCACTCTTGCCCCTTCACTACCCTCTTCTAATTGTCTTTTTCAATGACGTTTAATTCACATTGCTCACTCTGCCGTGTTTCACAAGAACTCTCTAGTCACCCACTGGCTTTGTCTCTAGCAGTCCTGCCCTCCCTCTTTCACACATGCACACACACACACATACAAATGCACACACACACACACACACACACACACACAATCACACACACATACTAATGCACATGACAGTTCCTTTATCTCTCAGAGCCAGTGCTTGTAGGGGACTTGTGTGTATTGACCAGTTTTGGCTTGCTGCTCATTTTGGAAGATTCCCTTCTTGACACACTTTATTTCGCTGACAGTCTTTCACCATTCTGAACTTGTCGTCGCTCGAGTGGGAGTTTTTCTTCTTCTTTTTTTTTTTTTTTTTCTTGTGGTCGGTTGGTTTGTTTTCGCTCTGCTGTTTACTCAATTAGGTAGAGGTGTGGTAGAGAGCGAGAAAGAAATCGTGCAGCTGCTAGTGTACAGGTCTGGTCTTCTGAGTGCTACTGAACAGGACTGAGAAGATCTTCTCAGGCAGAGAGAGAGAGAGAGAGAGAGAGAGAGAAAGAGAAAGAGAGAGAAAGAGGTTGGACCCAGCGTCTCTGTTGTGGGCATAAACAGCGTGTGACAAGCCAACCGATCGACAGCACAGCCTCATGGGAAAATAGGGCCCCAGGACTTGTGAACAGATGCCCATACGCATCCAGAAAATCAGCGCTGGAGTTCAGAAGAGAGAAGATCATCCATATGCCATGATTCGAAAAGAAACCAAAAGGTAACAGGGGCCTTCCCTACTTTCTCAGCTCTTACAGATGATCTATACAGGTTATGTGTCAGCGCAAATAGGGTTGGACTGCTTTGCCTTTTTCTGTGTGGTGTGTTTGCGAGGTCCGTTAGAACTGCCTGTGCAGTGCAGTGCAGAGAGGCACGATAATTGTGGTTACCAGACAAGGTTGTGGCTTCCCTTTGCGTTCTTTAGAATTTGCAGTTCAGTTCTCAATTCCCTGTTAGAGACACACATAGCACTTATTTCTCACACATACACCCAGAAGAAGAAAAATAAAAACACCTCTCGACTTCTGAATTTAAAGTTTTTTGGTTAGTTTAACACTTTTTTTCTTTTTTTAAGTGAAGATGGGTGGATTTGCATATCTGACACATTTGTGTTGAATCATCAACTTTGTTATCACTGATCTGTTCAGAGGGGATTTCACATCAGGGTCGCTTTTGAACTTAACATGTCGCTGCCGTCATCTGCTGCAGATAGAGACTCCTGCCCTAGGGCTCGGCTTTGAGATCCAGGCGATGTCGTTTCGCGAAGATCTGCGCAAAGTGAGGAAGAAAGCATCGTTCTGCGTCACGCACTGGACACAGCAGAACGGCTCCAGCAACACCTCCTCGCAGTGAGTGGCGCAACTCAGCAAGTGGCTGAGTTTACTTCGAAATTCTGTTCAGAGAGAAACGGTGCGAAACGTCCGAAACATCAGCGTTTGTTGTGATAAAGTGTCACAGTCACGATGTGTGTGCTTTTTTTTTCTTCATCTCTGTGCTTTTATCTGATTGCTGAGAAATGACAGTCATTGCAGTCCTAGATACATGATACTATCAGCATCACCCAGTGAGAGCACTACTTAGGAAGTGCCTATGTGTCACATGTCATTCTATATAAACAAATAAGTCATGATGATCTATCATATACATATCAGCTCATTTTCTTATGTGCTTTACGTATTCGCACGTAATTCGTTTTTAGCGTTGTTTTCTTTTATATGCAAATAATTGGAAAAGTACTTTTTTATACGTTTTTAATATCAAGAGCTAAATCTTAAGGGTGCCCTTATGTGACGTCACTGAGATAGCTTATTGTCGTGCGTTGCTTATTTAATTGATTAGCTGCGTAATTATAGAGATTTGGGAATCGTTTTAGTTTATTGTGTTTGTCAGTGTATTGGGTTTGCAAACAAGAAGTACATGACTAAAGTAAGGAAGTGCATTTTAATAAATAAAAAAAACAACAAAAAAACAAAGTCAGTCTGTTAAATCAAATTCAATATACGTGACATCTGTATGCCGGTACGAATATCGACACGGTCGGGGCTGTCAGAGTTTAGAACATAAAAATAAATCAAAGCTTGACTTAAAAGGTGGAATAGAAGAAGTGTACCTTGTGTTTTGGGAAAGCCTGTGAGAGAATATTTTGAATTCCGTTATTCATCTTAAAGCGTATTAGTCAGGTACTACTATTGATTATTGAGTATCTCCACTATGTAAGTGAGAAATGTCAGGAACGTCAGGACTCGCTGGTGGATTCTGGGAGTTTACGGGGTAAACTGGATCATGTCGAGTTGAAATGTCTGTAACATTATAAAACTTAGTGCTGGTGAAGAGTCTATCTGTTGAGCTCATGTACTAAATGTAAACGCATTAAGCACAAAGATTTGGAATGATCGGACCCAGAAAAGATGAATGTTTTCAGGTCTTGAAAGGACGAGATGTCTTTTCGAAATTTCCCTGAATTGCTAAAAGGTATTCTAGGTAACAAGACCAAGACTGCCACCGCGATTTGTTGCATGTGGTTTAACACATTGACACGTTTACAGTTTGTTGATGGACGTATTAGTTGGTATTAGTTCTTTGGTTGACGCACATACGCTTCTGAGAAACTTTAATCCAGGGGTCAGACAGACTAATGACTCGATTATAAATAGAATAAATCTATTAATCATTAAATTATAATTAAATCAAATGTTTTGATAATTAAATGACTACACAGACACCCTGCCGGTGCTTGACAGGTCCCTGGGGTTCCTGGAGAGTACTTTGAGAACCATGGCTTTAATCAGTGGAGTTACGTGAAGCAAGGCCGGTCGTTGATTATCTACCAAGTTGGAGATATTTGAAAACAAATAAGTCTATTTATTGTGTTCTTCAGTGTGTTTGGTCTTGTTATGCACTTAAACAATAAGTTAGGTAATAATAATAAAAATCATAATCATAATCATAATAATATTTCTGTTTGTAAAGCAGGGTCTGTACAGCACATTACCAATTTGTAAACTAGATGTAGATACAAAATTAGATTGTAAATTTTTGCGTGTGTGTGTGTATGTGTGGTGTCTTAATGAGTCTAGCATCAATTAATCAATTACTGGGAGAAAAGGACTCTTGACTCCCGTGTGTGTGTGTGCAGGCGCATGTGGGGATGTTGCTTTGGCCAGGAACTTGGAGTAAAATACCAGCTTCTGTGTCAGGGAAGAGGAGAGGGGAGTGTTGAGGGGGGATTTCCAAAGAAAAAAGGAGAAGTTGTTTTCTGAATGACCTGAATAGAGCAAAGGGTTCTGAAGGAGAGGAAGAGAAAGTGTGTGAGATCGAGTAGGTGCTGTATAAGGCCGAAACACATGCATGCAC